TGTGGCCAATAATGAGGTTTATCCAACCTAACAAGCTTTGTCCCTTGGTTGCACTAAGCTTGCGTAGATGGATGCTAGAAACCACTTTTCCATCGACTATATAAGATATTGAAAAACAGTAAGATTGTACAATGTATGATTTGGTATCGAAGTACCTATAGTAGATGTGGAAAATATTGTGAGGTGATTCTGGGAGACACTCCCTGTGGGCTAGTAACATAAGGTTTTCAGAGTGCTGAGCATTTGCCTTTTGACCTAGTCACTGCAGCTACATAGAAAACCCATCACTTTTCAAATTGCTTCTCTGCACACAAAAATGTTTAGCCTGAAGGAACAATACAGTGGTGCATTATTTTTGGTGGGGTTTTATTGATGCTTTATACATAATATTCTGTAGCTGTTGCTTAGTAAACTTTGACAATCAGAATGTTGTCTCTTTCCCATCTCTATATAGTGCATTTATACTTGGTTTTTTACATTTATATCCTGTTATTTCATATAATAATATTTAAAGTAACTTATTTTAAGGTTACGTATTAGTCAACCAGCAATGTCAAAATAAGAGTATGCGGTTACAAAATGAAATACTATTCAACAAAATATGAGCATACTGAAAGCTTTTAAAGTTTTTGTCAATTTTGGAGAAAAAGTATTCCATAGGAACAAATTAATTTGTACTCTAAATGATAACTCTCAGCAGCTTACATTATAATTGCAATTTATAAAAATGAATTATGCTTTTCCTGAAGACATTTTTTTTAAAAAAATTATTCATCAGGTTTATGGACTTTTCAATCATTGATTGAACACTCTCAAGGCAGGTGATTAGCTTGTTGTATAGGAAAGAAAGATCACAAATGTAAAGAACAAAGTTAGTAATTTAAATAATAGGGATATGTGGCATTGATATGGAAAAGCAGAATCCACCACTGGAGTGCCAAGGGAATAGACCTTCTTATCCAAAAGGTGATGAAGATTAAGAATAGCCTTCAGATTACAAAAAATATTGCTGAATGTCAGCCCCAACAAACTTGTATACCTTGGCAATAGGTGAAGGATGGAAGCTGCAGTTCTTCAATAATTGAGAGAACATAGGTATCCAATCCAGGGGTGAAATCCAGCAGGTTCTGACAGGTTCTGGAGAACCGGTAGCAGAAATTTTGAGTAGTTTGGAGAACCGGAAAATGCCACCTCTGGGGTGGGGTGGGAATGGAGATTTTGCAATATCCTTCCCCCAGGAGTGGGGAGGGAACGGGGATTTTGCAGTATCCTTCCCCTGGAGTGGGGTGGGAATGGAGATTTTGCAGTATCCTTCCCCTGCCACTCCCACCAAGCCATGCTCACCAAGCTACACCATGCCCACCAAGCCACGCCCACAGAACCGGTAGTAAAAAAATTTGGATTTCACCACTGATCCAATCCCTCCCATGGAGTATTATAAATATTTATCTTGGTTGATCTTAGCCAAGAAATCTAGGTTCTACGGAGACTTCCTTCAGAATTCTTAATTTTTTAGACAGTAAAGGTAAACTGTCCAGTTGTGTATGACTCTAGGGACGGTGCTCATCTCCATTTCTTAGCCAAGAGAGGCAGCATTGTCCAAAGTTCTTTTTCTGTGGTCATGTGGTCAAGGTGCACGGAATGCTGTTACTTCCTCACCAAAGTTGTACCTATTTATCTACTTGCATTTGCATGCTCGCGAACTGCTAGGTGGGCAGGAGCTGGGGCCAAGTAATGAACTCAGCACTCAGATCTCAAATCTGGGCTATCAGCTTTCCAGAGTCAATGCACCCAGTCCATTTAGATAGCATGGCTGAATAAAATAATATATATTAATATGTTATTACATAGATGTGTGTTTTTCTTTTTTCTTCTCTGTACTGAATTTTCTTGGGGGATATGGATAGAGGTACTTCAAAAGCAATAGGCAGGATGAGATCCAGGGTGTTTTCAGGTTCTTGTAACAAAAATCAAGATGGCAATTGTAAGGATGTGCCTATTTTTAATGTGCATCATATTTACTTTATTTAAAAGCCTTACCTGGCCACACACCTTAAGAGACACAACTCTGGATGGTTCATAACAATGAAATAGAATCAAATAAACGAAACATAATATAGAACATAATAAAACAATGCAAACTAAAAGCAAAAACGAAAACCTATTTTTACGTGCATTGGATAATCACGGCCACCTTCTTCTCTTTTTTTTTTACCACACTCAATAGACACTCCTGGCCAGTCCAAATGACTGCTAGATTGATATCTCAGATACCTGCCCTCCAGAATAGCTTCCCCATGCAGATTTTATTTATTTATTTATTTTATTCATTTATTAAATTTATATGCTCTCCATCTCTCCATTTGAAGCAACTCTGAGTGGCTTACAATGTTATTGTATGTGTATTTATACAGTAGATATAAAAAATTCTAAATAAAAAAAAAACCAGATTAAAATGTTAGAAGGTTAAGAGCAATCTAAAAAGTCATGGAGTAGAAGTGGAGCAGCGGTGAATGTTCACGTTTGCTGCACCAAATACTGCTAGTGCTACTCCTTCAGGGCCCCATACCAGTGGTGGGTTTTTACCGGTTCACCCCGGTTTGGGCGAACTGGTAGTGGCGAGGGCGGGAGGCTCCACCCACCCACCTGAAAGTCATCACGGATGCTCTGCGCATGTACTTCTGAACCAGTAGCGAAGGTAAGGGAAACCCACTATTGCCCCATGCCAGTTGGCATAGCCAGGTTTTAAGTCTTGTCCTGAAAATCAGAAGAGATTCATAGGACACCCATCCTGATGGTGTTCCAAAGGTTTTCAAATTCCTGCTTTTTCTTCCACTCCTTGGGGGTGGGGGGGCAGAGTGGGTGTGAGACCCTGTATGCTCTCTCTCTCTCTCTTTTTTTTTTGCTTGAGGTGTATGGGTCCCCCCCCTTTCAGGAAGTACACGCCCTGTTTTTCTTTTTAAATTGTGAGCTACTCAGAACTGTGTGCAGCTGAGGGTCTTCTAAATTCTAGTTGTGCACTTGTGTGCATAGTGGAAGTGCTGTATATAATTGAACTGCTGTTATTAGAGTGAAGAAAATAACAGTGTCATTGACACCTTCCCATTTGTGTAATGTTCGTCGGTGGTTATGAGAACTACAAATTCAAGATAAATTTACAAAAATAAGCTCTAATATTCAGGTATTCCCTTTTATGCTTGAAAATGCATAAAAGAAAACAATGGCTCATCCATTTGCCAGGACTAATGACAAGCATTTCCTTGATTCATGATCTTCCTTCCTACCATCCCCCAGTCCATCCTGTACCAAGGAAGTTCAAGCTTTCTGTGGTTTTGTTCTGTAGAGTTATTAATTCCCAATCTGCAGAGCACAGTCTGCTTTGAGGAGATAAGGGCAAAGCCATTAACCCCTTGGAGGTCTTTGTAAGACAGTTTATCACTCTGTCCTTTGAAATGTGATTGGCTTGCTGGGAGGATTTGGGTGGGATTTATATTTTAAACTAGAAAACAGTGGCTGCAGTGGTGAAATCCAAATTTTTTTACTACCGGTTCTGTGGGCGTGGCTTGGTGGATGTGGTGTGGCTTGGTGGGCGTGGCTTGGTGGTGTGGCAGGGTAAGGATACTTACCCTGCAAAATCCTCATTCCCTCCCCACTCCTGGGGGGAGGATATTGCAAAATCTCCATTCCCACCCCACTCTGGGGCCAGCCAAAAGTCGTATTTGCTGGTTCTCTGAACTACTCAAAATTTCCGCTACTGGTTCTCCAGAACTTGTCAGAACCTTCTGAATAGCACCCCTGAGCGGGTCATATGATTTTTCTTTTCCTTCAAGAATACTGACATAGACTTCCTTTATGAAATACAACTAACCATTAAGCGCTGCATAATAGAACAGGAAAAGTTGGATCTTCTTTTTTATTCCCTCCACTCTGGCTTGTTTTAGTTCTCCCTAAATGCTTCTAGATATATAAGTCTCCCGAGGGCATTTGGTTCCCCACATCAAGGCACAAGCATTAGGGAATCCAAAGGTTTTGCGAATGGATTTTTGTTTGCCTCGCACTTGTTCCATTCTGAAATTGTTTTCTAATCAGAAGCACACTCAAGAGACCTAATAACCTTTGAGCAATATTGGCATGCAACATTTTCAGAATAATTATTAATTAGCAGGAGAATGAGCGATGTGGCCTCCTTATTTACTCTACCCTTTTCTAAAAAGCTCATCTGTTCTCCAACTTGCTAAGAGGATGATATACTGATGGCAAACCAAGCAATTGCTGGCAAATAAAACACTTTCCCATCTTTTTTTTCCTTCCTTCCTTCCTTCCTTCCTTCCTTCCTTCCTTCCTTCCTTCCTTCCTCTCTCCCTCCGATTACATTCTCCACAGGAGATGTGGTGGAAATAATAACATATGAGTTATGTTACCAATAAAAATGTAGGGAAGTTTGGAAACAAAACGTGAAAGGTACAAACACTTTTGATTCAAAATACACTTCAGTTGACATCAATAGGTGCTTGTACTCTGCTTGTACTCTGCCTTTCAAGGAAGTCATCTTCACAACTACCCGGACTCCTCTCTCCCTTTCATTTCATTGTATCTAAATCCCACATCAGCCAAACCATTTCACGCATCCGAGGAAGTGGGCTGTAGCTCTTGAAAAGATGAACTTCAAAAGGAGCGACCACTCTCTTCCGAATATGAACGGTAAAGGAAAGACACCACAGCTGTGTCAGCTTAGAGTCCTCTGGACTTGTTCGACTCCAAGTTCCATAATGACCAGACACTGATGATGGAAGCTGCCTGCAACCATCTGGGAGATGCCAGATCGTAAAAGGTAGCTCTTATAGTTCCAGCCCTGTTTCTCTCCGCCCTTTCTTGCTCCCCCCCCCCGGGTTTCTCAGACTCCACTCCCTCTTTCGCGGCTCAGGGGTCCCTTCGCCTAGCCCTCCCCTTCGTCTCCCCTCCCCCGCCTTCCCCGACCCCCGGAAAGGCTTCTAGCTTACCCGAGAGTTCAGTGCCTCTGGGTGGTGGGATGCCTTCCGAGTGAATCGCCCGAAGCTGCGGCGGAAGAGCTTGCCTGGCTGCTGCTGGAAAAGGGGCTGGACGACTCACGCACTCGGCGGGAGAGGGTGGGGTGGGGTGGGGTGGGGGGGATGAGCGGGATGCTGAGCTTCCTCTTTTGCAATCTAGCTGGTGGCGAACGAACGCAGTTGGCGCAATCTAAGCAGGGCAGGAGGGCACTTTAGAGTGGGAAGGAAGGAAAGAAGGAAGGAAGGAAGGAAGGAAGGAAGGAAGGAAGGAAGGAAGGAAGAAGGAAGGAGAAGAAGGGAGCGAAGGAAGGAAGGAAGGAAGGAGAAGAAGGGAGCGAAGGAAGGAAGGAAGGAAGGAGAAGAAGGGAGCGAAGGAAGGAAGGAAGGAGAAGAAGGGAAGGGAAGGAAGGAAGGAGAAGAAGGGAGCGAAGGAAGGAAGGAAGGAAGAAGGAAGGAAGGAAGATTTGCTTTTTGCTCCGACGAACTATCTTTTCCTCGGCAACCGTGGCAATCGCCCTCGGTTCTGCTCCCGACAATATAACCAGCTCAATCGCGTGCAATAACTTGCTCGGCTTTGCGGGGAAACTTGCAGCATTTGCCATCCGTCTCTCTTTGCGGCGGTCGAGGAGGTCTGCCTGGGCCAGGGAGAGAGGAGAGAGGCTTCTAGCGTTCGGCGGTGAGTTACGCAGCCCCTGGCTCCAGCTGCCTCTCCTTGAAGGGGGATCCCGGCCAGGTATCCCGAGATGAAAGTATCCGAAGAATTCAAGAAGTTACTCCCCGGTAGCTGCCTGTAGGCTTCACTTCACTCGGCCCACCGCTACAAATCGCCGCTACTTTTTGCCTTTGTTTCCGCAGGGCTCCAAACGCAGGTTCGCCTCGTCCTGGGCGAAGTTGGAGTCAAAGGGACCGAGTTAGATACTCCTTTCTTAACCTGGTGCCCCTCCCATTTCCTCCCTTCCTCGGGTAGTTAGCCTAAAAAGGCTTCAGAGAGTTCAACGTCTGGTGACTCGATGGACATTTGCCGCGGATCTTTCTTGGCCATCAGTAGGACGGGATTTGTTCTTCTGGTTTGGCTTTTCCGACTTCCTTACATTCCTGGGATTTCCTGGTCGGGTCTAGATTTTAACCAGATTTATTTATTTATTTATTTATTGGTTCGATTTATATGCCGCCCTTCTCCGGAGACTCAGGGCGGCTTACAATGCTTTAAGCAATAGCCTTCATACTTTTGTTATATACCTGCTTAGTAGGGCTTTTTGGCCCCCACTAAGCAGTGTTCTATTTTATACAAAGTCAGCTTATTGCTCCCACAATCCGGGTCCTCATTTTACCTACCTCGGAAGGATGGAAGGCTGAGTCAACCTTGAGCCTGGTGAGAATTGAACTCGCAGTAATTGCAGGCAGCTGGCAGCTAAGTGCTACTTAACAGCACTTTACTCCGCTGCGCCACCAAGGCTCTTCCAGATCACACTAGGTTTAGTTTTTCATGCCCCCCCCCCCCCAAAAAAAAAATCCAGGGTAGAATTCCTTAATTCGCAGTCAGCCTCGTCAATCTGCTGTCTGCGAATTGTGGGAAGTTTGCAAACCCGGTCCAACCAACCCGGGAAGCGGCTGATGGGAAGGGAAACGCCGCTTTAAAAAACCGGCACCCTCATTCTAAACTCCTTGGCTGTCGTCAGGTCCAGCTTTCCCTCGCCGAAGGAACCTCTGCAAAAAGCAGCGCCCGCGAATCTTGTGAGCTTTAGCTGAGCTTTCTGATGTGTTCGGTTCGTGCCGGTTCGGAGGCTGATGGTGGAATTTTATTTCATGTCGTTCTTGGTCTGCGGAGTGTTTTACCGTGCAAGAAACAAAGAAAAACAGTCGCGTGCGTCAAACAGCGCGCTCGGCAATTAAAAACAATTAAAAACAGGGCCGGTTCCCTGGCGACTCTGTCGACGCCAGCAAAGTAGTTCAATCTTGGCCAAGGCGGCGAAGTATTTTGCCGTCGCTGTTTTCGGAGATAGTCTTCTCAGTCCATTTGCAGGCAGCCTTGCCTATTTCGTGATAATACTTAATTTAGCTCCCGAGCTCCAACAAAAGGAAATGCGGAGTTTAACCCATTCTAATCCCAAAGGTGCTTTTTTCAGGAGGAAACCGGACTTTTTGTGTGTGTTTTTTTTCTTTGAAGACGTTTCGCTCGATCCCCTGCAAGGAATATAAATCCTTCCATTCCCCACCATCCAGTTAGAGCTGAAGAAGCTTCTTGGACCAGAAGCGAAACGTCTTCAAAGGAAAGAAAAAACACAAGAAAGTCCTCCTGAAAAAAAAAACACCTTTGGGACACAGCCACGACCTGGATGACTGAGAATCTCTACAGGCTTTTTAGCTATGCAATTTGGGATGGACCCCTTCTAATCGATTTCTTTTTAACTTTTAAATGTACCTCGGACTGTTGGGAAGAGGATATCTTTGCCGGATAAATTAATCTGAATCAAATTTAGATGGGAGTTGTAGGGGTGCTATTTACAATCGAAACACGTAGGGAAAGTCAATTATTTAAATTGGAAGCCAAATTGGTCCCGCTCTCCAAATAGCGTCTAAAAGCTGCCCCTTCCTCCCCTCGGTGCCTTTTCAGGGACGAAATTGAGTCAAAGCCGAGAAAAAGATTGATAATGCCTGTGAATTAATGGAGGCACTAAATGGCTGCATTTATACATTAGGCTTTAACCTGGCTGGTGCATTAACTGATCTTCAGGGTTTTTCACGATACTTTGAACTAAAAACCCCGCGTAACCAAACGGCTTGCATTTGCAAGCAAGGAAGCAAGCGAAAGGAAGAAAGGAAGGAAGGAAGGAAGGAAGGAAGGGAAAGAAAGAAAGAAAGAAAGAGAAAGAAAGAAAGAAAGAGAAAGAAAGAAAGAAAGAAAGAAAGAAAGAAAGAAAGAAAGAAAGAAAGAAAGAAAGAAAGAAAGAAAGAAAAAAAAAAAAAGAAAACCCTGGTAAAAACTAAGCCGCTAGTCCGCTGTACGAAAGCCCCTGCTAAATTTGAAACCGGCCATGTCCGTGGCGTTAATTATACAAACACAACTGTCCGTATTGACTGCATTGCGATTAAGCGTTTGGAAGACGACCAAAATAGGCCGGTTGGGTCCATTCTTCGGACGAAAACTTTCTGAAACTTTAAGCCAGCGGTCGCGTTCCGAGTCCTTCCCTTTAACGTTAAGGAAATTACAATTCAGAGGGAAAAACCTCGCGTCATTTCAGTTTAAAGCCTTAAGCCGTGGATTCGCCAGGACAAAGAGTAGAAAGCCCATTTCCTCAACAGCGATTCGGCTTCTAGCGCAAAATTTCGGAGTCAAATAACAAATGACTGAAATAAGAATTTTTGGGGAAAACGAACCAACCTAAGAAGAGAAGGGGGTGGAATGAGATTGCCGCGGGCTGCTCGTTTGTTTCTGAACAAGCAAAGAAATGAAGATGGGAGGGATAAACGCGAGAGAGGGGATCGCATTGGGAGGAGGTTTGGGAGCACCGACGTCATCTAACAAAGAATACCTAATGAAGACAATGGGGCTTTCCCCATTTAGAATTCACGGGGATTTCGGGCGGGGGAGAAACTGCCTTTGACCTTTTCCAAGTCAAAGCAATTGTCTGGGGGGCTAGAAGTAGGATGCCATTTATTCTGAATCGTTCTTTCATATCGTTTTGCAAAACAACAGATTTTTACCTATGCAATACAATAAATAATGTATGTTTCCTCATTTGGGGTCACCGTGGTTATAATCGTTTGTCAAACTTGTGATGAACATGTCTGTTGCGTTTTGGTCTTCATAGGAAATATACCTAATTTTACTTTATTTTGGTGTGGGACGACTGAGAAGGGAAGAAAGAGAAGGCGGCTATTCTTTTTTTGGTTACAGGATTTAAAAAAAAAAAACAATCTAAGGACGGGCTATTCAGTTCTACATGCCCATCAGTAGGATTTGCCCATTAGAAGTGTGTATTAAAATTAAAATTTGTCTGAGAAAGGTAATATTCTTCCTTACAATTGTTCAGTTGTGTATTTCTTTAAAAAAATATTTAAAACTTAAAAGTAGGACTGTTGACAATTGAAAGACCAATTAAATTAATACTTATAAATGGAGCTTCATAATGAAAAGGATGCCAGGACCTACTCTGGTTTTGTTTTAGAAATGTTTTAGTTTGACCGATGTTAAGAATTTGCCAGACTATTATATCCTTAGGTTCCATGCAACGGGGGTGCGTGCATGCGTGAGGATACTGCACTGTCATTTCACAATGGGAATTAAAATTTGGATGCGGTTTGACTGTTCCTTTGGTTCACATGCCTCCTGGCTATTTCTAAATATGGAGAGGATGAGAGAGGGGGAAAAAAAACCCGCCTGCGCTTTTCTTCCCCGACCTATTTGTGCAACGATATGTGATAATTCCTTCTTCAAAGCAAAGCTGGAGATGGCTTTGGCTAAAAACTGCAGATACATCTCTTTCTCCTTTCTCTCCTTTCTAATTAAACGGATGTCGCGAAGGCTATTTTTAAAATGGAAAAATTAGCTACATTACTCGTAAATTCCAGCCCAGTGTAACCGCGGCTATATAAATCTTTATGTAACCCAACAAGTACCTTTAAAAAACGAAGATTTTTTTAAAAAATTCTACTTTATAACTAACTCAAGACAGCGAGCACATCTGATAGTCCTTTCTCTTCCTCTTTTCCCCACAACAACAATCCTGTGTGGTGAGTAGGAGGAGAGAGAGGGAGGGGGAGAGAGAGAGAGGGAGGGAGAGAGGGAGGGAGAGAGGGGGGAGGGAGAGAGAGAAGGGAGAGAGAGTGGAGGGAGAGAGGGAAGGAAAGGGAGAAGGAGGGAGGTGGACGGACGGAGGGAGAGGGAGAGGGACCCCAAATCACCCAGCTGGCCGGTATGGTTAATGCAGAAGTAGAACTAACAGTCTTCCAGTTTCTAGCCTGGTGTAACCTTGGAATCTGTCTGAAACCAAGAACCTGTTTCTGAATAATGCAACTATTTTGAATCTTACTACTAAAAAAAACACAAACTCAGCCAAGATGAGGCAGGCTACAATGACATAATATTTTATGATTCTTTTCAGGCTATAATAAATATATGCTGCAAGCTTTACTCAAAAATTATTTAATAAAGTGAAACATTTTATTTAGTTCATATGACACCTTATATCAGCTTATTTCAAAAGATTCAGAGACGTTTATTAGTGCGTATTGTCGAATAATCCCTTGAGTTCGCAGGACCAGCACACAACTATTTATCGGTAGAATAACGAAAAAACAAAGAAACAAACAGCGGTAGAGTGGGGAAGAAGGAAAATTCCGACATCCAGTCCATCTTCCACTCTTCCACATTGCACCTTTTATTAGTAGTCATTTCGGTCTACATTTTCTCACGATGATATATAGATCGGAAGAAATGTGATGAGCAATGGGGTTTTTCTTCTTTTTTCTCTTTCTTTTGTTCCAAACGCAGAGTCAAAAATCTTTCGCCTGAAACCGAATCCGATTTCGAAAACACACGTTTCAGTATTTCGAGAAAACTATCATCCGAATGGAGGAGGGCGCGATCCTATTTTAAGAAGGTTTAATTTCCTATTAATAAAAGAGGGAGTGATTTGGGAAGAGGGACAAGCAACCAATCAAATGAGCCACGAGTTGGCTGAAAGGGCCGAAGGTGCTTTCAATTTCAATTTCGCAACACCTGCCTGCCCCCCCCCCCCCATCTCCGCCCACGCATCCGCAACACCCTATTTCTTGCTGCAGTATTTTATCGAGCCAGGTGCTTGTCTTAAAGCTTGGCTAAAATTAAAAGAGTTAGACGCTTCCGTCTAAAAATATGACGATATTAAACCGCAGGTAGTAAAGAAATTTGATAAGGCCGTACATAAATTCTAAAGACAAGTGTGAGGGATTTGGTACGTAGTTGGTGGGGCATCACAGGAATAGGCTTAGCCATGTAAACAGAATTCAAAGCAAAACCGTCGCACACGAGTATATTTCCCGTTATAGTCTTAAAACCGGACAAATCTGATGTAGTACCTCTCTGCTGGTAGCCAAAAATCAGAGGTCTGGAGACAAATTTTGAGGCCAGGCTAATACATTTTCATTAAAGCTTGTAATAAAACGGATTACTGTAGTCTGAAACGGTGCTTCCGAGCCCCTTCCAATTTAGGGCTACCCTAAACTTACTTAGCACTCATCCTACCGTCTCTGCCAATAGATAATTCAAGGAGTCCATTAGAAGACCGCCATTTTACTAGGCCTGTCTTCCTGGCATCAGTCCCCGCACTTTCCTCTTCACCCTGGGCAGGCTAATAATATTTAGCTTCCCCCCTAGAGACACAATTCTTAGGAGAATTGAACCGAATGAACATAGAGGGCGGTGGGCGAGAAAAGGGACATTTCCCAGCCTGTTTGAGGAGGTCGTTGATGGGGGGCGATTGCGGATGGCATGGGGCAGATTTTGATCTCAAAGCTGGGCTTGGCTACGTTCTGCAAACCGCGCCTGGAGAGGAAGAGATGCGTGAAGATGCCAACTGGTGCCCCCTCCCTTTCCCTCTGCAGTTTGTCTCAGGCGTGGGTGTTGCTCTTGGGGAGGGGAGAAGTAGATTTTGGTGGGGACCTCCCCCAGAAATGCAGCAAACCTTTCCTCAGGCTCCCTTCCTCCCACCCCACCCCACCCCACCCCCGATCCCATTTCCTCCCCCTCCCCTTTCCTTCTGCTAGTTGGACGCGTGGGGACAGAGACGTGCCGCGCGCAGCAGAAGGTTTGCGTGGCAATCTGGTGACCGCCGCTCGTCCCCCCCTCTCGCTTCCCCTCCCCTCCCCTCCCCTCCAGGTTCCTCTGCATTGCATTGGCACCGCCGAGGAGGCTGGAGAGACAACCCGCCCGCCTCTTCTCGACCACGAAGGGGAGAAGAAGCCGGAGAGAAGGTGGGAAGGACGTCGGGGCAGAGGAGGGCATTCCAGCCGTTTCCAGCCCCCACACCTGTCGCGCCCTCCGAAGAGCCTATGCCCCAGGCAAAAGGCGAGAGCTGCCCCTGCAGGTGCCGAGGTCATGGTCCAAGCGACTCTGCGGAGGCGAAGGTCCAGTTCCAGGCGAGAGTGGAGATAGCGCCCTTCTAAGGCTCGCCCTCAACCGCCGGAGCAGCAGCAGGACTGGCGTGCCAAGCGGGTCTGGCACCACAGTAGCTTTGTCAGCTTCGGCCCCTTTCCACCCTTCTGCCCGTTACCCGCTTCCCGAGCGTCCGGTCGGTGCCTACTACACCCCGCACTCACGTACAAAGCCAGGCAGCCAGCCGGGCGAGCGAGCATCATGGCGACGCTAATTCGCAGCAAGATCTCCAACGTGGCCACCACGGTTTCCAACAAGTCCCAGGCGAAGGTCAGCGGCATCTTTGCCCGCATGGGCTTCCAGGCAGCGACCAACGAAGAAGCGGTGGGGTTTGTTCACTGCGATGACCTGGACTACGAGCACCGGCAGGGGCTGCAGATGGACATCCTGAAATCCGAGGGCAGCGAGGAAGGAGGTGAGCCGCCCTTGGAAGGAGATACCCACTACCAGAGGGACGGCACGGGACCACTGCCTCCCTCCACTTCCAAGGACGACGGCGTCTGCTCCGAGCTGTCCACTCAAGGGAAGCCCAGGATCACCGCCTGGGAAGCCGGCTGGAATGTCACGAATGCCATCCAGGTAACCTTCATTCCCTCCCCCTTTCCGTTGGGTGAAATCCTGGGTTTAATGGGGACTTCCCTTGGCCTTAGTTTCCAGTGGAGTCAGGGGTTCCAGACTGTTTGAGGGACTCAAGGGGTTGACTCATCTAGAGTAGGGTTCTTGATATTCATCACCTTGGATCGTAACATGTTAGAAGCAGAAATGGTCCCCAGAGGGACATCTTTATCCAATCCACTGCCTAACTATGTAAATGGCTGCCTACCCAGTTTCAAGCAACTGCACTTTCGAGAAAGGTAAGATCACTTTCTAATTCATGTCAAGAACACGAAGCAACACGTTCTAATCCAGGCGTTGTTGCACTTCCTCCCTCCCCCATCTTTGTCTCCTCCCCCCAATCCAGCCAGCCTTATCTCTATTGTGGCAATTTCGATCTGTGTTAATGATGATGGGATGGCAATTTTTAAAAAAAATTGCGGTTGCATTGTGCAATCTAAATTTGCATTATCTAATCCTTCCAGTTTCATCTGTATCTACGCCTGAATTTGTTTTAATATGCTCAAAGCAGCATATGGTCCAAATGGGACAGCCATTCTCCCTTAGATGTTTTATTTTAGTTTTGCTTTAGCATTTGGCATTTGGAAAATTTGGAAAGAGTGAAATGAGCCCTCCCCCCCCTTGCATTGATTTGTATTGTTGATACAGAACATGGGGCCTTACTCTACAAAACCTGATTGTATAATTACAGTTATTTTACAATTTGTTGGTATTGTCTACACAAAGTAATAAGATGCACCATAGCAAAATTGCACCCAGAAAAGATTTGCTCCTTTTCACTTTCAATCCGACATTGTTCAGATCTGAAAGAAAATAGTACTAATCAGGAAATGAACTTTTAGGAAAATGAGTAGCATTTCTATAGTCAAAATCTATTTTATTAGTAGTGAAGTTCTGAAAGCAAATTTCCATGGTATTTCTGTTGTTCCCTCCACTCAAACTACTGTCCACTGATTAATATCTAACTTAAACAGGCAAACAAACACAACAGTCAATCTTATTTTCATTAATTAGCCTTTTTGGTGGCATTTCTAGCTATCTTAAATTATAAACTTATAATTTTCTGCAAAAATAACCTTTGTATAACTGCAAAGGGTATAGTTTGAAATTCTGTCCCTATTTATTTGGAAATAGGCTGTAGTGAACTCAGTGAGAACTACTTCTTAGTAGACATGTATGTGATTACTTTACAAAACAATTTAGTCTATGTATTCAATTCTAATCCTTAAAGTGAATTATTTTTGGATGCTAAAAATGGCTTCTATTCCAGTGAACAGTAGTGGCATGTGCAATTTGATTTAATAGCAATCTGATGATCACACTGTATTTTTGCATCTGAATCAGAGGCATTATAACCAAAATAAGTCAGAGTAATTTTAGTGAGTTTATAATTATTGTTTTGGGTGATTGGCATTTGGTCAAAGATATGTTACACAAGGAAGTGTGGTTGACTCCTATAGTGTACTATTTTTTTTTTTACAAAGCTATTTTCTCAAGCATTTGTAAGATGATCTAGAACCAAACTTTTTGTTTGTTACATTGCTTTTTAAAAAAAGTGTTTTAGTTTTTGCATTCACAATTTTAAGTACTGGTTTTATTATGATGATTTTATTTATTTATTTTTAAATTGCCCTAGATTCCCTCAGGAAAGTAAAATGTAAAATGTTTTGTAGTTTTAAAAGGAGGTATGTATTCATTTTGAGCTTTAAATTCTTCTTCTTCTTCTTCTTCTTCTTTTTTTTTTTAAAGAAAACCAAGCTAATTCTTTCAATGAGAGGAGGTCTGCCCCTATTACGTTGTTTCCTAGCTGCATGAGAATGTATAGAAGTAATATTTTTAAAAACATGCCTGTGCAGAAAAATGAAGTCTATCCTTCCCCCTATTTTTAAACGTTTTAATTTTGGAATTAAGCACGGAATTTTTTTTAAAAAAGCAAGTCCTTCCACTCTCCATCTGTGTATTTTCTGGGAGAGTAAATGTTCCCTTGCAAATAAATCTGAGCAATACAATATTCCATTTTCTGTCTTTCTAGGGAATGTTTGTCCTTGGCCTGCCCTATGCTATCCTTCATGGTGGATACCTAGGACTCTTTTTAATCATTTTTGCAGCAGTAGTTTGCTGCTACACTGGGAAAATCCTCATTGCCTGTCTCTATGAAGAGAACGAAGACGGAGAGATAGTCAGGGTGAGAGACTCCTATGTGGATATTGCAAATGCTTGCTGCACTCCTAGGTTTCCCAGTCTTGGGGGCAGGATTGTAAATGTGGCACAGATCATAGAACTGGTCATGACCTGCATCCTATATGTAGTGGTCAGTGGTAACCTGATGTACAACAGCTTCCCAAACTTGCCAGTGTCCCAGAAATCATGGTCCATCATTGCGACAGCAGCGCTCCTGCCTTGTGCTTTCTTGAAGAACCTCAAAGCTGTTTCCAAATTCAGTTTACTCTGCACCTTGGCTCATTTTGTGATAAACGTTTTAGTGATTGCCTACTGCCTCTCCAGAGCCCGAGACTGGGCATGGGATAAAGTCAAGTTTTACATTGATGTGAAGAAGTTCCCCATCTCCATTGGCATCATTGTCTTCAGCTACACCTCTCAGATCTTTCTGCCTTCCTTGGAAGGGAACATGCAGAATCCCAAGGAGTTCCATTGCATGATGAACTGGACTCACATCTCCGCTTGCATCCTGAAGGGTCTCTTCGCCTTGGTAGCCTACCTGACTTGGGCTGACGATACAAAAGAAGTCATTACAGACAACTTGCCATCCACCATTAGAGCTGTCGTTAACCTTTTCTTGGTAGCCAAGGCTTTGCTCTCCTATCCTTTGCCTTTCTTTGCAGCTGTGGAGGTCCTGGAAAGATCCCTCTTCCAAGAAGGAACCAGGGCTTGCTTTCCTAATTGCTATGGGGGTGACGGGAGGCTGAAAGCCTGGGGACTTACCCTTAGGTGTGCTCTCGTGGTGTTCACCTTGCTGATGGCCATTTATGTCCCACATTTTGCCCTCCTGATGGGCCTCACAGGAAGCCTCACAGGGGCAGGCCTCTGTTTCCTCCTTCCCAGCCTTTTCCACCTGAAGCTTTTATGGAGGAAACTCTTGTGGCACCATGTCTTCTTTGATGTGGCCATTTTTGTAATAGGGGGTATATGCAGTGTGTCAGGCTTCGTCCACTCTTTAGAAGGCCTCATTGAAGCTTTTGGAACCAATTCAGAAGACTAAAAGATGGGTTAGATTGGTTGCACTGGAGAGAGGAGAACAAAAACAAACAAACAAACAAACAAACCCCACACACAGAACATTTACATAGCCAAAAGATTATGCATCCCCATAAAAGAGAAATGTTGTTATTTTAGTGAAGTGACACTCGACAAACATAAGCGAGTTTCCAGATCAGAGGCTTACCCAACAGACTTTTTAAATAAATGAAGAAACCCTATATATTTTGTATTATTTAGATATTATCAGAGAAAAAAATATTTGGAATAGTTCCCTGTCTTCTTCACTTCATAATCTACATACATTTAATCTTTATAAAGAGAGTAAAAAAAATCCTCTGTTTTGGAAATAGGGAGTGATTCCACGGTAATATTTTTGCAGGTTTTATGCAACTCAGTATTGTTTTAAAAAATAATATAAATGTCCATCCAGTTGCTTGGGATCATTATGCTGGATCACTGGAGTACATGTACGGCTTGATGCTAAATTTGTATGAGGAGCAAATTGAGATGGCTCTGATGATCATCCCTGGGCCTAGCAAACTGTAACGTTTACAGCTGTATATTAAAAACAATCCGTAAGAACTGCTTTAACACTTCCATATCAGCTCATATCCAGTACCAGCATGTCCCATTTTGAGTAAAGATCTGTAGCTGACCTGCAGCTGAGATCAGAGACTTAGTGTCAGTTATTGAGGATTGAGTTACTTTTATTCCTATTCTTAAAAAAAAACACACAAGAATAAAATTGTTGGATTTGACAGCTATTATGGATAAGAATAAATCATATACAAGAAAACATTTCTGTGCAACTACCAGGTTTGTGGAGCTGTTTCAAATGTATGTGTGATGTAATTGTGGTAAATACAATGACAAATGTATATCAGAAAATTTATCTTTAACATAGAATGTGATTCATCAATATATCAAACAATAAAGAGAAACCATAAGAATTACGGCTGGTATGGTTTGTTCTAGGGATGCCTTTATAGTAGTATCCTCAAAGCATCTCATCTCCTATAGACATTTATGTGAAACCAAGCTCCATTGCAACTCAGCATGTCTTTTTTCTTTGTAGCTACCTCTTTTTCCATTGCAGGGTAAATCAGCAGATATTTTTACAGGTACAAGGTGGATTAAGAAACATCATATGGTGTATGTAAATAAAGCATGTGTTGAATTCAAGTAATGTACCAATGTTGAATGGGTGATTTCTTGGTTCACAATAGTTCTACAGTGTGCATATTTATCTAGAACTAAGGAGCTAAGATTTCAGTGGAATTTTCTCTCTGATTAAGCATTGGATTATGAACTGATTCTCCAATCTATGAAGAACATTTGGTATTCAGCCAAAACAGTGCAGTATTCTATGAGAATTGTGATGGAAGTTACTTGCCAATAGTATTGTGAAGTTTTTGTCTTCTGGTTATTCATTTATTGCATAGGACTATTCAAAATATATTTGAGATGTAACATTTATTATTTTGAAATCATTTAGCACGGATCACACTATGTGATTTTCTTCTCTTTTTATTTTAATTCAGTTTTCAGGTCTTTGAGCATAATTTCTATCTATCTACATACTAAATATATTTTAATTATATCTATCTATCTATCTATCTATCTATCTATCTATCTATCTATCTATCTCTATCTATCTATCTATCTATCTATCTATCTGTCATCAATCAATCAATCAATCAATCATCTATCAATCATCTATCTATCATTCTTCTATCTCCATCCATCCATCCATCCATCATCCATCCATCCATCCATCCATCCATCCATCCTTACTTATGTTCTTTATCTCTTTCATTTCAGTTGTATACTTGATTATATTTCTGGGTATTCAGTTTCTCAAGTCATGATGTATTCTTATTCTTTTCAATCTGTAAAATATTTTTAATGTTTCCATCATATTTCATGCAACAAAATGAGTATTTCAAGTATTTTAGTTTTGAGTATTTCAGTTTTACAGAATGGAAACTGCAACTGAGAGAGAAGGGAACAGAAATAGCAACAGGGATCCTTGGGTCTACCTGATGTAAGAATTAAACTATTCTCTGGTAGTCCTCTTTCTGGACTATATCTTTTCAGAGAACAGGAGAGGCAATCAAAGTAGGATTATCTCCTTTATGAAGACATTTTTTTTCTATGATAATCTTGTATGAAAGGCCGAAGACTGAAGAACTTTGTCTGTCTCCTAACAACCTAAGACTAAACTCTCCCCCACTTTTTAAAAGAAAATGTGCAAGAAGAATTCCTCTTGCTTGCACAATCCTCTAAGTACCATTCCAATTGACAACAGTAAATAAATCAGGAACTTCCCCAAACATGACTGCCCACCAAGGGTAGCTTCTAAGAAAGATCTGCTTCCCTGCCAGGAAGTAAGAGGGCAGTAGACCAGGTGTCCAGGCTTCCTTGTGGTAGCTTTCCCCTGATGAAATATGTTGATCCCAGAAGTCAGCCTAGCCCTCCAAAAAGCAATGAAAACTGTACTTTTGAAAGGCACATTGATTTCTGAGCATTTCCTTTGGGAGTCTGTTAGGTCTATCTTCTACGTTATGGATTTTAGGTTGAGGTCATGGTATTAATGGCACAATTTTTTGTACCTTGTGGCTTGTGCACCACCTTGAGTCTTATGAAAGGGCAATATAAAAATTAGGTAGTACAGATCTTAAATCTGAAATCTTTGTAATGGGGTTAGAATAATGCAGTAGTGAAATGACATGGAATGACATGGGAAATGACAAGTCTTGAGATGTTTTCTGATGTTTGAACTTTAATTCCAGTTTAATTCTTTTTATGACAATCTTTTCATGGGAATGTTTTATTTATTTAAACTGTGTTAAGGTCCTTTTGGATCCATTTAAGTAGTGAAAGACACTAATGGTCCTTCCCCCCCCCCCGAATAAGATACTATTTAAATTAACTACACTACTGGATATATTTGGAGATTATAGGCATCATAATATTGGCCAACTCTCATCTTTGAATAAAGATGTTCAGTTCTATTATTATACATTGATTTTGAGCCCTTGGATATTGTTCCTGACTGCCTTGAAGGAAAGATGAGATAGAAAAGAAATGCCATTTAATAAAATGTGAATAATTGAATTTTAGAGTAGTACTGACATGCAGTCCTAACCACTACAATGGGAAAGATATTATGTTTACAGAAGGAAGGCAACTTGGACTCAAAATTAGCCTATTAAAATTATAATCATAATTCTGATTTAGGGCCCTTTTGACAAGCATATTAAATTAAATAAATAAAAAGCCATCAAATTATTCGAAGTGCAGAATGTACAAAGAAGCAGAAGAAACAGTAGATCTTACATGTTGCTGTAAGAAGATCACAGAAACTGATTATAAACGACACAACACAGCCACCCCAATAACTCACTGGAACATCTGTAAAAATTATCATGTGGCAGTAATGAGAAATTGTTGGGAACATAAGAGCTGAAAAAGTAGTAAAAATGAGCAAATTAAAGTATTGTGAGATTTCCAAATACAAATTGAAAAAAAAATCTTGGCTCATAATAAATCAGATTTAACTGCTCGAAAGGAAGAAAGTGTGAATAACTGATGTGGCAATACTAGGGGATAGTAAACTAGAAGACAAAGAATTGATCACGAAGTATCAAGATCCGAAAACCAAAATTGAAAGATTGTGGCATAAACTGGTCATGATGATTCCAATAGTTACTGCACACAGGTACAATACCAAAGAATCTTTGTGCATAAAAAAACCCCAACCCATCTGTCAATTACAAAAGGCCATGCCGCTTTGATCTGCACATGTACTACACCAATACATTATAACATTTTAGGTAGTTGGGAAGAACTTGTTGCATATGAAGATCAACAACAGCTAAACAACTGGCACCTGTGATTTCATATTTTTGTGTATATATGAATAATTTTTAACAGTAACAATTACTAAATTGTTTGGTACCTTTAATATTATGTAATAACAACATCTACCTATCTAGGTCCTTGGGAAAGACTTGATATGGATACGAATGTCAAATCCAGTCTAAATATTTGGCTGACTGTGCAATTGTCCATACTGTAACCAAGTTTTTCTTAAGAGTTCTACCTTTCCCTTTTCCTGGTTAAGTCCTTTATTTATCCCTATCAGGAATTTCAAATAGTGCCTCTAGTGGCCACTTGAGATTGCTGTCTCCAAAACTCATATTCTAGAGCAGTGGTTCTCAACCTGTGGGTCGTGACCCCTTTGGGGGTCAAATGACCCTTTCACAGAAGTTGCCTAAGACCATCGGAAAACACATATTTTCAATGGTTTTAGGAATAATTTTATGGTTGGGGGTCATTACAACATGAGGAACTGTATTAAAGGGTCAAGGCATTGGGAAGGTTGAGAACCACTGTTCTAGAGTGTCATCTAACCTTTTTGCAATCTTGTTTGACTGGAGGGAGTATCGCTGAAATAAAAAATCCCTTTTAGAAAATATTCTACAAAAATGTTTATCAAACACGTGTATAGTAATAGGTGAGGATTTTTTGTTTTTTTTAAAAAAATAACGTTTACTTTTTTGCTTTAAAAGAATCCATTTGAAAGGGAGCAAGAAATAATCATTCTTGTTATAATTAGTTTCAAAATGTGAAATTTCACAGTTCTCTGGACAAAGAAACCTTTACCTATTGTATGCAGAAAAAAGATATTTTTTTCCTGGAGAAGAAAAGAGGAGAGTGACAGTAGCTTCTGAGTAGACAGATATAGATAAGATCTTTCAGGAAAAAAGTGAGCACCTTTGAGAACACAGGTGTTCAAGGAAAGTATGAATGCCACCTAGTTCATAGGATTACAGTCTATATCTCAGCACAATTCATTCATCAGATCTTCATCTCCAGGGGAGACATGATAGCAGTATTCCAATATTTGAGGGGCTGCCACAGAGAGGAAAGGGTCAAGCTATTTTCTAAAGCACCTGTAGGCCAGACAAGGAATAATGGATGGAAACTGAACAAGGAGAGATTTAACTTGGAAATAAGGAGGAATTTTCTGACAGTGAGAACTATCAACCAATGGAACAGAACTTGCCCTCGGAAGTTGTGGGAGCTTCATCACTCGAGACTTTCAAGAAGAGATTGGACTGCCATTTGTCAGAAACTGTGTAGGGTCTCCTGCTTGGGGGTGGTGGTGAACTAGATGACCTACTAGGTCCCTTCCAACTCTGTTAATCTGTAATCTGTAATAATCCTCATCACGACCATGAGCTATTATTCCTTGCTGCTCGGCGTCATGTCATCCGCACGACGTCACACAACTGCATCGTGAAACTCCTGCGGCTCGTGCGTAACCTAAACGTATCTGCTGTGCAAGCCGTCGCCCGAAGCGTTGAAAGTAGAAGATTTCGTCGTCTCTTGCAGTAACGGAGTCTTTCTCCGTAGGAAGGTCGACCGTTTGCAAAATAAATAAAATAAAAACTATGTTATGATGCAGTTTAAAGGCAAGGATACGCATAGGGACCTTTAAAAAAAAACAAAACCCAGTCTAAAATGCTGCTTTAATCAGCTTCTCAACTTGATTTCCCCAAGAAGCATTGAGAATATGCACTCACAATTTCCCAGTTTTCCTGCCGTTTCGAATCCCAGTCGTTCTGATAGAAACCAATTTGGGGCAGGCGGAAGGCTTTCGACCCCCAAGAAGTTCCCGAGAACGTTGGAACCCGTTTGTTTTGCAAGGAGCAATTGAGGGAAGAGCCGCGCCAGAAGAGAAGGTACGGAGCGCCCTTCTACTTTTAATTCATAACTCTGTTTCAAGTAATGCAGTGCATCGTGGTTGCGTACAGTCTTCTTTGTTGGAAGAAGCTGGCTAATGGGTCTCTTAGACCGACGTCCTGCAGTTTCGGGGAAGCTGAACGGGGTAAAATTGTCCGAGGTTTGAAAAAAGATTCTCCCCTTTGTTTCCCACAGGGAC